GTGGTCTAAAATTGATGAGAGTAGGCTTCGGCCGCCACCCGGGCAAAATTCAAAATTTCCTATCAACTGAAAATATTAGGTGTGTCCCGCGTGCTCATATGACCTTAGGCAGTTGCGAGCGCCTTAAAACACTTTACAAAAACAAAACAAACAAACAAAATACTAAACATCAAAAGTTACGCAAGTCATATAGCTACTTAAAGAATCGGGGGTTTAATAATCCACATTCGCTTTAATGTAGGCCATGGCCGATTTTTTGTATTCAGTGATGTTGTGAGCTCATGTCACCAAGCTTTAAAATGCTCACAGTGTAAAATGAGGTCACAATATGGCGGCGAAGAAAAAAAATGCAAACTGAGTATTTTCTTGAGCATGCCAATTGGAGAGCAGTTTTTAATCCCCTTAAAAGTGTTTACCCTACCGAGTGGTACAACTTCACTGGACGTAACGCATTCTTCAATCGAGTGTTTTGAGCTAGCGACCATGCCGCGACTCAGCGAAGCAAACAGCGAAAGGGCTATCGGCAGATTTCATGTGGGAGAGTCCAACTGATGTGTCTGTTGCCATTGGTGTGTCGCTCTCTACAATATTATGTCGACTCCTAAGACGTTTCAAACTACTGGAAGTACTCGTGATGCTCATAGAATTGGAAGACCACGAGTGACGTCAGTACGCCGTTGCCGTGCCCTTCTGCGGAATCAGCTTCATGTGTCCTTCCAAATCGGCCAGAAATCTCGTTGAAAACCACGGGAGAGCCATTTCAGGTCAGACTATGGGGCGCCGGCTTCGAGAAAGACAACTGCAGTGTCGCCGACCTTTGAGACTTGCAGTCCTTCTGCAAGACATCGGCAGCAACGTTTGGCGTAGGCTCAGCAACATGTGGACTGGACCTGGCAATAGTGGAGAAATGTACTATTCACTGACGAAAGCCGTTATTGTGTCAGTCGAAGACATGGAAGAATCAGGATATGGAGAAGACCAGACCAACGGTTTGCTGACAACAACGTCCTGCAGGTCGAAGCATGAAGTGGTCCCAGCTTAATTATCCGGGGTGCAACGGGCCTAAACCAACACTTAGGACTCGTTGTATTCCAGAACATTTGACCTGGCTGAGGTAATGGTGTTATTGCACAAAGCTACATCCAACAGGTACTGGCGCCTGTGATCATACCTCATTTTCAGCAACACCCGAACCTTATCCTGCAGCACGACAAAGCTCGATCCCATACTGCAAGAGCAACAGAAGACTTCTTACAGCAGAACAATGCCAGGGTACTGCCATAGCCCCCAAGGAGCCCAGATCTCAACCCGATCGAACACTACTGGGACCACATCCAGAAAGAATTGAATCGTTTTTATCCAAGACCAACAAAAGCACCTTGATCATGATGCAATATTCTGTTTTTATTGGAAGAAAAGGGGTAGATCACACCAGAGCAACCACCAACTATCCGCAGATCCGATCGGCGCAATCTTAAGAATTTGTTGCGCGTTTAACGATCGTATAATTGCGTGATATTTTTTTTTCTAAATTTAAACAAATAACTTTCATCTTTATTATTTTTCTCACATCAAGGAACATTCACATATATTTTCACAAATGTAAAAAATATGAAAATTAAAATTACAATTTTAATTAACATATAAAACTGAAAAGCCTACAAGAATGATACAATGCCGGGTATCAAACTCCAAGTTCACTAGGTACATTTAATTTATTTGCAGATGTCGCAAATTCAATGTTCTATTTTCGCTCCGGTGAAATGGTGCTACATAATGCAAGATTCGCATTCGATCTTGATTGTTGCGTCGTCTGTTCCTAGACACTTGCAGTGGATATTAACTTCGTACAAATATGAACTTTGAGTTTGAACGCCTGGCATTGTATCATTCTTGTGAGCTCTTCAGTTTCATGTGCTCATTTAATTCTAATTTTCATATGTTTACACTTTTGAAAATATATATGAATATTCTCTGATGCGAGTAACAAATGAAGATTGAAGTGAGCTTTCCAAAAATCATTAAAAAAGATAAAACATTAGCGTTATCTTCAGAAAATTCCGCACAATTATACGATCATTAAAAAACGCAGCGCAATCTGTGCCGATGGGTAAAAAACGCGGAACATAATGATATATATATTCAAGTACTAGAGAAGGTAAAGAGGACAGCTCTGATATACATAGCTGTATATATCTCTCGTCTAGAGTAGGTTCTTCCGGGGACAGTTTCCATCAGCACCATAGAGTTATCTCCTTTTTAAACTAGAGTCAGTACGAGGTCACGTGACACGGAATCTTTTGAATTTATTTGTGGGCATTTTTGTGTTGGCAAAGAGGTTTGTTTACATGTGAATGGGCGTGTCTCTGTTTTTCCTAAGAAAAGTGCTTTATTAGATTCTAACGTTGTGTTTTAATCCAAAGAGATTCTCTTAAAAGTGAAAGCATGTGAAACCTCTAGTTCCTCTCTGGACCAACGTCTTGTGGCCCGGTTCGTCGTATGCGAGAACTGTCCGTTTTATCGAGTTGTGTAATCTGTTTAGACGTTCCAATCTATTGTCCTGTTGTTTTTTCGACCAGGGAGATTCCTTGTCATTGACTTGATTGCAGAAGTGCAACGCACCGGGTGAATGTGACAGCAGGTGTTACATGGGATCATTATTTTTAAGATTTTGCGTACGTCGTGTTTTACTATCGTATCCATACGACGTGGAGAACTCTGTGCCAACACTTTCCAAAGAGGAAATTTACTCGTTAATCCGATTCGTACGCTTGACATAGCAGTCTGTCAAAATGATTTTTTAAAGAAATACTGAAAGTTTCAAAGAGATCTTTGTACTAGAAGTATTCTAAAATGAGTAGAATACAACTCCGTGGGTACAAAATGACCCCATGGCGTACCGATAAGGTTAATCCTGCTCGGCTGCACATTTTTAAGTGATTTTATGTCACAGCGCGTCTCCTCCAAATCTGACCGTGATCCTACGAAAAATATCAAGCTGCGCTTGATTTCTCGACAGTCTCCAAGCCATCGTCCAATCGTCGAAACTTTGTACAATTTTGTGGTTACACCTGACGATTTGTCTGATGATTGATAGATCAGTCAGTTTTTGTACTATTTATTGTTGCGTCTAACCGGGGCTTTCCAGCCTTAAAGACTTTCTCACTGTAAATTCACCCCCAGCAAACTTCTGATTAGTCTGGAAGAGGAAGACAGAAGAAAACGAGAGCCTCCAAAGGAACCACTCTTTCTTTTCATTGGTAAGAATAAGATTGATAAGAATTTAGACAGATTAGATCAAGATGGAGCTTAAGTTTAAGTGCTATAAATGGCCCACGTAAAATGAGTATAAAACAAAGTTTAATACCAACATAGAAAAGACTACTTATTTGGTATACTTTTAAAAACTAAGTGAAGAAAAGTATAAAAAGTACAGGAACAGTTTCCAGAACAAATGTCATAGGTAAAAGTTTAATTCGATTTTTTAGATACTAGTACACATGTATTCATCATTAAAAATGTGTTTTGCTGAATTTGTTTTATGAAGAGCTTCATTGCCTTTCTACCCCTAATGGCATAACATCTCTGGAAGTTTTTCCCGTGGCTATTCTTGATTCAATATAGTGTCAGACTCATACATTGGGGAGTGT